TTGTGGGGCGCCTGGGTGGCTTAGTTGGTTAAGTGTCCAACTTTGACTCAGGTCATGATCTCGTGAGTTCGAACCCCACATGGAGCTCTCTGCTGTCAGCACAGGGCCTGCTTCAGATCCTCTGTCCCTCTCTCTCTGCCCCTTCCCTGCTCTGCGTGCTCGCTCGCTCTCTCTCAAAAATAAATAAACATTAAAAAAAATGCTACCTTTGGTGTAAAAAGGGAGGCAATAGCTGTACTTATTTGTGCATATACACAGAAGAATCCCTGGAAGAATACATAGAAAATGAGTAACAGCTTTCTCCAGTGAGGGGGTGGGTGGATGAGAAGGTGTCAGTGGGAGGCTTTTCACTCTCCCAAGATATTCTAGCTGCCTGTGGGCCAAACTGACCCCTCACCTAGCTTTTATAAATAAAGTGTGATTGGAACACAACCATTCCCACCCACCCCTTTCCAAAACTATAACTCTTTCCCTACAACAGAGTTTAATTGCCCCAGTTTTTTACTATCTGGCCTTTTACAGGAAATGTTTGTCAACACTTGCTCTCTACCATTTTATAGATTTTTTTTTTTCATTTTTAAACTATGTGAATGTACTTTTTCTCTAAAAAAATTTTTAACAGTGATGAACTCTCATTAAAGGGAAACTCTGAAACAACAAAACACAGACTTGCCAAGGCTCTGAGTGTAGAAGGAAGGGAGAGGGCAGCCAGATGGATGGGTGGACATGGGCTTTTGGGGTCTGACAGACACATGTTGGAGTCTGAATGTGTCACGCACAGGCAACATAACCCTGTGCATCACTTGGATGGGAGCTTTGGCTTCCTGTGCTATGGGGTGGGAACACATACCTGCTAAAAGGGTTATCATAAATATGAGAAAGAAAAAAGAGTGAATGTATAAAGAGCACCTAAGCACAGGCCCAGTGTACAGCAGGTGCTCAGTTATAGTAGCTGTGGTTATTATTTTTTCACAAGTAATATAACCTCTATCTATAACATTATTGTTATGGGAAAATGTATTCCAAGTTCCAAATACTGGGAATACAGCCCAGTGAACTCAGAGGACTTACCAGGAGAAGCTGTAAATCATACTTGGAGTCTCATGCTTCTCTGTTAGATTGGCCCAGCAGTAAAAGAAATGGAGGCCCAGGAAGGGAAATGGCTCAAGGGAGTGCAGATACCCTTGCTGAGAGGAGGGGGGCAGAGCCAGGGTCAGCACCTTGGCTAGGACACCAGATGTAGACTTGGCAGAAAGGTGCCCAGTTCTGCTTCTAAGAGAAGTAGCTTTCAGAAAAGCCTCTTCCCAGCTTGGCCTGAGCTCAGCATGTAAGGAAAAGCTGTGATGATCCACCTCCAGTAAAGCAAATTTCTACTCCCAACCATAGAGGCCGACTTTGACTCAGGGCAAGAACCCATAGCACAAGCTGCCTGGAGAAAGCGAGAGCTCCTGCCCTACAGAGGATGGGCCCCTGGACATGTGCTCTGGGCTCTACAGAGCTTCTTTCCATTCTGGAGACCTTGGTCCTAAGGAGCCTCAGTGCGACCTCAGGTTCTGCAGATAAAACAAAAACCACACTGAGTCTCTTGCTCCTGTGCCCCCAGGCCACTAGAGCCCCTTTCTCCTTTGTGGACTGGACTCTCTGCACCTGACTTCCTACAACCTGTTTTTTTGTTTTTTTTTTTTTTAACCTTGGAACAATCCATGTCCAGTGTCTCTTACATTCCAATCCTGCTCTTAGCTAATATGAAATGATTTGGAGTCAAGACCCGAGTTTTAGTCTTGCCATGGCCACTAATTCAGACGAGTCATTTCCCTTCTTTGGACCTCAGGTTTCCCATGTGCAAAATGAGTGAGGGATGACCCAGATCCTCAGAATTTTTTACAAAGCCCTCTGCAGACAGTGGAGAATGAACATACAAGAGTCTAAGAGGCCCCACATCAGTTCCACAGTTCTTTGCAATCTTGTTTTTCATTTTATAAATTCATGTGAATTTTGTGTTCTAGCTCATGATACACCTGTGTTATAATACAAATGCAATAGATCTCCCCCTAAATCTTCAAGTAAACTTGACTCTCCCAGAAGTTAAATAATCATGTTTATCTTGAGGGTATGTGATACCACCACATACACTGGGTACACATCCCAGTGTGTGAGCTGTGGGGCATGGGGTGTTTCGAGGGTGCCTCCAGGGTTGATGTGTTTTGGGTCTATGGAATAGTAATCCCCTCTAATGGGTTCCCTGTAACTGTCTGCATTTTAACAGGGGATTCTGGAGATAGTGTCTTAGCTCATAAGAGTGATCCTAAACGGTAGAATTTTAGATGTGCCAGGAGGCTGACGGAGAAGGAAGCAATTGGAGTATCCTTGCAATGACTCTCAGTTGCTTCATATAGGCAGGCTTCCAGTTATCCTAAGCTTAAAATAAGACCCACTGAATAATCCCCATCACAAGCCACCAGACTTCATGATGAAACACCTTTCCTCTTGGGTTATTTCCAAAACTCTCTAGAATATAACAGAAATGGCCTTGTTGCCCTTTAAAATCAAGGAACAAGGGGCACCTGGGTGGCTCAGTCGGTTAAGAGTCCGACTCCTGATTTCAGCTCAGGTCATGGTCTCACGGTTTGTGAGTTCAAGCCCCCATCAGGCCCTATGCTGACAGTTCAGAGCCTGGATCCATCTTCAGATTGTGTGTCTCCCTCTCACTCTGCCTCTACCCTGCTCACACTCTGTCTCTCTCTCTCTCTCTCTCTCTCTCTCTCTCTCTCTCTCTCTCTCTCAAAAATAAATAAATATTAAAAAAAAAAAGGCTTTGGGACACCTGAGTGGCTCAGTCGATTGAGCATCCAACTTTGGCTCAGGTTGTGATCTCATGTATGGTTCGTGAGTTCAAGTCCTGTGTTGGGCTCTGTGCTGATGACTCAGCCCGGAGCCTGCTTCAGATTCTGCCTCCATCTCTCTGCCCCTCCCCTGCTTGTGCTCTGTCTCTCTTTCTCTCAAATATAAAATAAAAAAAATAAAAAAATTTTTTTAAAGGCTTTGTAGCTCCTTTCTTAAAAAAATGAAAATAAAATAAAATCAAGGTAACAAGCCCAAGTCTCAGCATCAGATCTATAGACCCAGAGACAAGGAGATAGATGGACAGAGAGATATACTTACCATAGAACCCAGCAGAAGCTCCCTGCAAGCTGGGACGCTGAGCTCTGGCCCAGGAAGGGGCTCTGTGCCTATCACAAAGCCATTGGGCACCTTGAAGGGGACATCATCGAGGGCATTCATTCTGTCAGAGGAGTGTAGAGATGGCTGAGCAGGACTGGGGCAGGCTGCCTGGTGGCAGGGAGAGAGTGTAGTCCTGAGAACCAGGCTTGGTCTCAAATGGCCTTACCACTCTCCCGTGTGGTGACTTAGCTGAGCCCCACACAGCTGGGAAGGAAAAAGTAAAGCGGCTGGTGCTGCATAGGGAGGAAATGAACAAAAACAAGAGCATTCAAACTGACAAGAATTGACTCTTTCATGTTTAAGTCTTGCCCTAGACAATTGTTTCCCAAAATGTGGCCTATGACACTAGTGCTGAAGCATGTTATCAAGAGTTTTCATCCAAACATTTAAGGAAAATGTCAAATTACAAACACTTCCAGAAAAGAAATACTTCCTGACTCATTTTTATTTCCGCACCATCCTGATACCAAATCTGACAAAATTAAGGTCAATCTCTCATGAACATAACTGCAAAAATCTCAATAAAAATAATTTTGGACAGAAAAATACAACATTGCTGGGTTGAGTTTATTTCAGGAATGAGAGATTGTCTTAATATTCCAAAATCAATCACTGGGAGTAAAAATAAATGTCAATAGAATAAAAATTTTAAGTTATAGATTATCTATATCTGTAGATGCAGAAAAAGCACTTGATAAAATCAATGCCCGTTCATGATTTTAGGAAAAAACAAGCCCATTTAATAACTTAGGAATAGAAAGTAATTTCCTTAGCATAATCAAGAATATCACTAAAACATCTAAAGCAAACAGGCCACTTAATAGTGAAATACTGAAAGATATCCCCAAGATTGAGACAAGGATGTCCCCATTATCTCTTCTGTTCAGCATTGCACTGGAGATACTAGCCTGTGTAAAAAGAGCAAAGAAAAAAAAGTATAAGGATTGGAAAAAAAGAAATTAAACTACCATTATTTGTAGATGATATAATCATATGTAGAAAATCCAAAGGAATCTATAAATAAAACTCTTAGAATTAGTAAGTTAATTTAGCAAGGTCATTGGATACAAGGTCAATATATGAAAATCAACTATATCTCTCTATACAAACAACAAACCATGAAAATATTGTCTTTTAAAAATGTCATTAGAGGGGCGCCTGGGTGGCGCAGTCGGTTAAGCGTCCGACCTCAGCCGTGAGTTCGAGCCCCGTGTCAGGCTCTGGGCTGATGGCTCAGAGCCTGGAGCCTGTTTCCGATTCTGTGTCTCCCTCTCTCTCTGCCCCTCCCCCATTCATGCTCTGTCTCTCTCTGTCCCAAAAATAAATAAACGTTGAAAAAAAAAAATTTTTAAATGTCATTAGAGAGTGAGATTTTAAATAAGATTATCATGTAATATTATCAACCAACCTTCTAGGACTCAACCTAACACAAGATATATAAGACCTCTATGTGAAAAACTATAAAATATTTATTGGAGGAACATGCCATGTTCATGAGTTAAGACTCAATGTCATAAACATATTAATTCTCCCTGAATTGATTTGTCGACCCCACATGTCAAATTCCATCTTGTTTTTGGGGGATAAATTGGCAAACTAACTCTGAAATTTAAATGAAAGGCAAAAGACTAAGAAAAGCCAAGACAATCTTGAAGAAGAAACAGCACTGTTGGAAGATTTATACTATATCAACACTTACTTTAAAGTTACAGGAATTAAGACAGTGTGGTACTAACATGAGGACTTACAAAGAGTCCAATAAAACAGAACAGGAAGTCCAGAAACAGATCCATATTTATATGGATCCTTAACTTACGACAAAATTGGCCCTGCAGAGAGCATAAGGAAAATAAAAGTCTTTTCAGTAAATGGTTCTGGATCAATTGGATGTCCACCTAGAAAAAAATCCTGGCCTCTACCTCACATCACACACACAAATCAATTCCAGGTAGACTACAGATCTAAATGTGAAAGGTAAAATGAAGCTTGAAGATAAAATAGGAGAATGTATTCATGACTTTAGAATAGGTAAACATTTCTTAGGCAGGTTGCAAAAAACTAACCATAAAGGAAAACACTGACAAACTGGCTTCCATTCATTGGAAGATACCATTAAGACAGTAAAACAACAAAACAGAACCACACAAACAAAAAATAAAAAACACAAATCAGAGTGGGAGAAGATATTTGCAGCACATGTATCTGACCAAGGACTTGTATCCAGTAAGTACAAAGAACTACAAAGCAGTAAGAAAAAGACCTAATTCAAAAATGGGCAAGAGATGTTAACAGGTACTTCATAAAAGAGTATATCCAAATAAACATCAAAGTTGTCTAACCTCATTAGCCATTGGGAAAATGCAAAACAAAACAATGAGATACCAACACACACACACACACACACACACACACACACACACACACACACACACAAATGGTTAAAATTTTAAAAAGCCTGACAATATCAAGTATTGATGAGAATGAACTCTCATGCACTATTGAGAAAGTTAAATTAGTATTAGTCAACAGTATCTACTACTAAAGCTGAAATCTAAGAAAAATTAGTTCATACATAGCTTCTGGGCCTTTTGGCTGAGATCAAGTATAGTATCTGTTAGTTTAATAATATTCACAACAGCAAGGGATTTTATTTGTTACGTATTTTAAACTAAAGATTCTGTTCTCTTAACAAAATGAAACTCACAAAGAATTCAAGCTCTTGAGACTGCCTATAATATATACTTAAATCTAGACTCCTGACCACAGTCTGGCATTTTGCAAACAATCAGGATTTACCAGGGACTGCACCAGGGAGTATCTCTGGCTTACTACAATGTCATCCCTACTAGGATGTTGCAAACCCCTGTTGCGAGGGGTCACTGGGGTCATCCCCATGCCCACAGGAGATCATGAGAAGAGACAGAGTAAGTAATCTGAGTGCAGAGAGGTCAAATGAGGCCAGATGGGCAAATCCTTTAATTCCCTCATCTCCACTGCCTGTCCACTCTAGTCTGTGTCTACTGTATGTAAGACTCCAAATGTTTCTCCACCCCATGCCAGGAGACAGTCTCCCAGTGCACTGGGAGCGGCTCTTCATGCTACAGGATCAGACAAGTCCCATTGTGATCAGTAAGTTATCTGCCCCATCAGCCTGTTCCATCAGGGGACCTCTGAGGCGTAAGGAGTTGTAAGGGACATAAGAAAGTTAGCAAGTTTTGGCATTCTCTGATTTATCATCCACATTTTCAGCTGTCATTAGAATTCTGAGCTGTGGGTAAAGGCCACAGCTTTGTTGAGACCCACGTGTGAACCGCCTGTCCACTGAGCAGGTACAGGGCCACCCTCCTCCTCTCTCACTTCTGACCCAGCATCTGCATCCTAATAGATATTCTCTACTCAGTTCTACACTTGTTTCTGGAATAATTTAAGAATTTGAGAATTCTGGAAATAGGAATAGGAAGGGCTACAGTATAAGACATGATCTAGTTAGAGCACACTCTAGAATGACAGTCATCCCTGCTAAGTATAAAATAAATGGTACAGATCATTAAATGATGATATTCTTCAACGGAAAGAAAGTATTCTAGTCCTTATGCGAGTTGGGCAAGCTTCAGGAAGGACCCTGACAGGACCCTGACCTGGATCCTGAAGAGTATGGGAACAGCCTGTGAGCAGGTTAAAGGTAGAGTGGAGAGCATAACTCCAGGGAGGGAACAGCTTGAGTCAGGGAGCAGAGGCAGGGCAGAGAGAGGTAGGGGGAGGAGGGGGCGGGGACAAAGCATATGACTCAGATAGTTTGTGCTGGGAAGCAGCCTGCATTAAGACTGAAGGGGTAGATTGGGGTAGAGCTGGCGAGGGCCCTGAAAACGGAATACTGACTCCATTCAGTAGGCAGTGGAGAAAGCTTTGATGAATCTGAAGGGGTGGGGTGGGGTGGGGTGAGGATGGGGAAGTGGGGATATTGGGAAGGCCAGTCTGTGCATGCTTCAGCAGGCTATAATCCAGGACCTCTCCATGGGTCTGTGCCTGTCTGGCTGCATCTGAGCCTAGGGGTGAGAGGCAGGGCAAGTGGGGGTTGTAGTAATTGGTCTACCTGGAGCCCAGGCACTGATGTAAGCATTATTTTTTATAAAGGTCTCCACTATACTCTAAATGACTTCATCCTTGCCCACAGCATCAATAATCTATGTGCCAATGACTCATATTAAATTCTGCACTTCTTCTCAGAGATCAAATTCATAAACACCACTGCCTACAAGGCATCTCCTCCAAGATTTCTCAAGGGTGCCTCAAACTCTACATATCTAAAGTGAACTCGTGATTTCCCCTCCCCCAAACTTTTCCTCCTCCCCAGAATTTCTTGTCTCAAGGAATGTCTAAGATATACAAACTGAGGACTCATGCCTGACACTCTCTTCTCCCTCACAACCACTCATCTCATATCCCTGCCAAGTTTCCTCTCTTAAATCTCTGATATCCACCCATTTCACGCTACCTCCACTGCTAACATGGGAGTCCAAGCCCCCATTATCTCTCACTTGGACAACTGTGTTCAACATATCCTCTTATGCCCTATCATTGTAATTGTTTCACACACTGGGACAAAAGTGATCATTTCAAAACAGCAAACAAAGCCAATCCCCTGCTTAGAAGCCCCAAAAGCTTCCCAGCTCTTTCAGAATAAAAATCAAACTCCTGACAAGGGCTTCCAAAGCTTTGCAGTGTCTGGCCCCTACCCCCTTCCCTCTTGTCTTACTCTAGCCATGCTAGTCTTCAATTGCCTTGGTCTCTTAGCCCAACACAGGGCCTTTGCATATTCTATTCCAAATTCTTGCCACATTCTTCTTCCATGTCTCCTCTGCACTAGTGAATAGCTGTTTATGCCTCATAGCTTAGCTGAAACATCATCTCCTCAGAAAAGCTTTTCCTAGACTCTTCAACAAATGCTGTTGTGAAACTGGACAGCTACATGTAGAAGAATGAAACTGGACCACTTTCTTACACCATACACAAAAATCAATTCAAAATGGATCAAAGACCTAAATGTGAGACAGGAAACCATCAAAATCCTAGAGAACACTGGCAGCAATCTCTTTGACCTCAGCCAGAGCAACTTCTTACTAGAAGTTTTGTCTCCCTTACCTTGTCGCTGAAGGCAAGGGAGACAGAAGTAAACATGAACTATTAGGACTTCATCAGGATTAAAACTTTTGCACAGTGAAGGAAACAATCAACAAAAGGCAGCCTACAGAATGGGAGAAGATATTTGCAAACGACGTATCTGATAAAGGGTTAGTATCCAAAATCTATAAAGAACTTATCAAACTCAACACCCAAAAAACAAATAACCCAATTAAGAAATGGGCAGAAGACATGAATAGACACTTTTCCAAAGAAGTCATTCAGATAGCTAACAGAAACATGGAAAGATGCTCAACATCACCCATCATCAGGGAAATACAAATAAAAACCACAATGAGATACCACCACCACACCTGTCAAAATGGCTAAAATTAACAACACAAGAAACAACAGTTGTTGGCAAGGATGCAGAAAAAGGGGAACTGTCTTGCACTGTTGGTAGGAAGGCAAACTGGTGCAGCTACTCTGGAGAAGAGCATGGAGGTTCCTCCAAAAACTAAAAATAGAAGTACACTATAATTCAGCAATTGCACTACTAGGTACTTACCCAAAGGATACAAAAATACTGATTTGAAGGGGTACATGTACCCTGATGCTTATAGTAACATCAATAGCCAAACTATGGAGAGAGCTCAAATGTCCATCAACTGATGAACGGATAAAAAAGAAGTGGTACGTGCCCACGCGCACACACACACACACACACACACACACACACACACA